TACTTTTTTTTTTTTTTTTAACAAGAAGGCGCTAGCGGCAGCCTCACACGCGAGCGCCACGCGAGGCTCCCGAAGCCAACCCGGGAAGGGAGGAGGGGAGGGGGAGGAGGAGTGAAGAGAGCAGGAATAGTATTTGCACCTTGTTTGCGCCGATCCTAAGAAGTCTCCCGGGATTTGTATTTTTTGAAATTTCCCTCTGGGCTCCCTCTCCACCTGTCTCCTTTTCCTCTCTCTGCCTGCACCCAAGTTCTGTCTGTGTCTCTTCCCCAAGCGTCCTCCCCTCGTGTCCCTGCTTGCTCCTAATTCCGCGACTCCTTGGCCACCGCTGCGCATGGAGAGCTCTGCCAAGATGGAGAGCAGCGGCGCGGGCCAACAGCCCCAGCCGCAACCCCAGCAGCCCTTCCTGCAGCCAGCAGCCTGCTTCTTCGCTACCGCAGCCGCCGCGGCCGCGGCTGCAGCAGCTGCCCAAAGCGCTCAGCAGCAGCAGGCGCCGCAGCTGAGCCCGGCGACCGACGGCCAGCCCTCAGGGGGCGGTCACAAGTCAGCTCCCAAGCAAGTCAAGCGACAGCGCTCGTCCTCGCCGGAACTGATGCGCTGCAAAAGGCGGCTCAATTTCAGTGGCTTCGGCTACAGCTTGCCACAACAGCAGCCAGCCGCAGTGGCACGCCGCAACGAGCGCGAGCGTAATCGCGTCAAGCTGGTCAACCTGGGCTTTGCCACCCTTCGGGAGCACGTCCCCAATGGCGCGGCCAACAAAAAAATGAGTAAGGTGGAGACGCTGCGCTCAGCGGTGGAGTATATCCGCGCGCTGCAGCAGCTGCTAGATGAGCACGACGCAGTGAGCGCAGCCTTCCAGGCTGGCGTCTTGTCGCCCACCATCTCCCCAAATTACTCCAACGACATGAACTCTATGGCCGGCTCGCCGGTCTCATCCTACTCTTCCGACGAGGGCTCCTACGACCCACTCAGCCCCGAGGAGCAAGAGCTGCTCGACTTTACCAATTGGTTCTGAAGGGTTCGGCCTGCTCAGGCTCTGGTGCCAGAGGACTTTGAAAGCAGGTAGGTGGCATTTGGGGGAGCGCATGGGGGAAATTTCTTGTCTCCATCCTTTTTCCCTCTCTCCGCGGTGTCTAGACGGGGGAGGGTCTGTCTCCACGGAGATGAGAGGGATTTTGATTTACAGGATTTGTTGCCAAGTTTGTCGATTTCAAATCCTAGATTGTTAGTTTCAGCAGTGGCCTCCAAGAGTGAGCTTTGCCCAGGTCGCCAAGAAACGGAAGGGAGGGGAGGGGCAAGGTGGGGAGATGCTGGGAAACCAAGGACTGAGACGTGTCCAAAGAGGCACTGTACCTGACAGACCCTCCCCCAAACCTTCATCTCATCCAACCACTAACCTCTAAATTCACACTAACCTCTCCTGTTCTTCTCTTTCTGTTATAGGCTGACGGCACAACTTGCATCTTTGTCTTTTCTCTTCAGCGATGTTGGGCGAGAGGGGAAAAGGAGAAAAAAAAAAAAAAAGATGAAGAAGGAAAAAAAACTAATAACCCAGCCAATCAACCCAAGCGCAACTAAGGCATGCAGGAGCTGCAAGACTCTGAGAACAGGGATGCGCTCAGAACAGTATCTTTGCATTCCAATCACTCACGGGGATACTGAGTCCAGTAGGACCCGAGTCAACGCACAACATGCCACTGTGTGCAAAATCGGTGGGCTCCTGGCGGAAGGGAGCTGCATACCCCCTACAAAAATTCCTACTCACCACTAACAGGAGCTGAAAATGCTTGCTTGGGTGCCCCACCTCCCAGCACTCTCTCAAAGCTCTGTTTTAGAAATGGGTGGATGTTTCATGCCAATAAGCTGTGGATATCTATCTGCAGTGAAACTATGTGGTACTGAGTCTTTTGAAATCCTGCTCCTACTCTGGAACTCCCTCCCTGAGTCCTAAGCCCTCCCTCACACCGTCTTTCTCCCTCTTTTTCATCATAGAATGCTTCCAATCTTTTGTGAAAAATTTTTTTTATTATAAGAAAAATCTATTTGTATCTATCCTAACCAGTTTGGGGATATATTAAGATATTTTTGTACATAAGAGAGAAAGAGAGAGAAAAATTTATAGAAGTTTTGTACAAATGGTTTAAAATGTGTATATCTTGATACTTTAACATGTAATGCTATTACCTCTGCATATTTTAGATGTGTAGTTCACTTTACACCTGCCGTTTTCCCTATGCGGTTTTGTAAAGAGCGCTCCTCATAGGTGAGATCAAAAGGCCACCAGATGTACTTCAAACACCAATGTGTCTTACTTTAGAGAAACTTTGTTAATGTATTAATGATGTTATTAAATACTGTTCTAGAAGAACAAAATTTATGCAGCTACTGTCCAAACGCAAAATGGCAGCCAGTTGGTTTTGATGGGTTGCCTTTTTGGGAAATTTCTATCACTGCCTTTTTTTTTTTTTTTCCTTACTGTTTTATTACAAACTTACAAAAAAATGTATAACCCTGTTTTATACAAACTAGTTTCGTAATAAAACTTTTTTCTTTTTTTACAAATGAAAATAATCAGCTGCCTCCAAGCTTTCTTTGACTCCCTATCCTGGCCAAGTTAACTGTTGAAATGCCCATGGGAAGGATGAATGGGGGAGAGGAGGGTGGCCCAAAAGCATGCTAAGTGGCAGCAATGACAAAGATTTGTGTTATGCCCAATGATGTCTCTATAAGGAATGTAGAGAGAAAAAATATGTTCGTAAAAGTGCTTTTTATTCACCTTTTTAGCAGCAAATGGGTATACATACATGAGAGAATCCAAACAAAAAACAAACAAAACATTGCCTTGTTATCAATTCAGACTCATAACTACCATCTATAGGCAGTGATTAATGTCCTTTGATGAAATCACTGCAGATATATATATATATATATGAAAAAGAAAAACTACCCAAAAGAGTGAACTGCAAAGTTTGGGCTCTCTGGCCCACTTTCCAATCCTGGCCCCTTTTCTGAGTTTCTCATTGTGCCACTGGCCAAAGGTTGGATAGAATAATGGAAACTAGAGGTGGGTATAAGGATGGTGGTGGTAGAGTTGGGATGGGATAGGGTGGTGGCTGTATGTCTTCTCTTTTCACTTACCGGCCCATTTTCTACTCCTTCCTCCCAATTCACACACTTTCCTTGTTGATTTAAAGTAAGAGGCATGTATGTTATGCATTCCTTGTAAAAGGAGTTAGATGGAAATAAATAAAACCCCTAGAAATGTGTGGTCTCTTTGAGACTCTGGCCCATCTCAGCTTGTGACTCTATCCGAATAGCGTGAGCTGCGTGTAAAAGTACCCAATTACCAAGATTCAAAAAGAAATTAGTGGGTTTTTGGCTGGCTCGCTTCTTGTCAGTTAGCAAGGACGTGATCAGAATCCTACTCCACTTCTAGCCAGCTCCTAGCTCGCCGCCTGCAGTACTTGCAGATTCAGTTTGCGTGTCTCCAGCCAAGCGGAAAGGCGAGCGCAAAATGCATCTTACAAAACCCAACAAAGAACGGGGAGCCAGCACGTCTTCCAGAGTTAAAAATCTAGTCTGTGTTGGTACATCTATACCATTTAGCGGCACAGAATAATCATTTTTTAAAGCCGCGATGTGCGGAGCACGACACAACGTCTGATGTCATTTTGCTAAATGACCCTCTATAGAATGCACATTGAGGCTTCAGTCCCTTTCAAAGAGATGAGCGTAATTAAGAAAAAAAAAATCCGTAAATTCCTCCTCGCCATAAATAATCGGACTTTCTGCCCGCAGCGGGCCAATTTAGAGCTTACTTGAGAAAAGTAATGCTTTTGTAATGCTCTCTTTTATTTTATCTCCTCCTTTGGAGGACCAGAGCTGGGCTCCCCCGACCCCCACCATTTCTTTTTTCTTTTAATTTCGCTCCTTTGCAAGTTTCCAGATAAGGTATGCAAAGAAAGTGTAGCAAGTCATTTATGGCTATGAATATAACATTAGGTTAACGTTGCAGGTCCTACAAAGGGGATTTTACCCCCTTCTCCTTCTTGTGAAGACAGGTGTTCTTTACTCACTTCTAAATGGGGAATTTTCAGGATCGTTCAACTCAAGGCAAAGTTAGCCCTTGTTTGCCACAATGTGAAGGCAAACTCGGAAAACTCACAAACACACAATTTTGCCGAAGCTAGGAAAGGGCAAAGCGGGGATTGGGCAAAATCTCATTACATCTGCTCTAATCGCTTAGCAACACAAAGCCGGGGCTTGTGCGGCGAAGGGAAGCCATTCACAGCGCCCTGACAGGCCGCATTCAGCCGGCATTAGTCAGCTCCATAAATCACCGCTGCCCATTGGCTGCGCTGCGGGCTCTGCCGAGGCCCGCGCCTGTCAGCGAAGTACAAAATGTAGACCCCAGTGGCCAGCAATAGCGGCCTAACGTCCACCCCACTTTGGGGAGAGGGATGATGGAAAAGAGAAAAAGCATTGATTTTCTTGACTGGGAAATCGTACATATTCTATCAGTGGTCTGGAGACCACCGAGTTAAAGCTGGAAACACGCCTGAAATAGACAAGGATGAGTGGAAAGAGAGAAGAAAGCAAAAATAGTTACTGTTTGCAGAACTGTTGAATGTACGCCTTGTCAGGAGCCATGGACACGCGGTTACCTTCCAGACCCAGTCTTTTTCTTAATTGGGAGCCGGAGTGTGTATGGAGAGACAGTTAGTGAAGTTCAGATCAGGGGGCCCAATAAGGAAGAGAAAACAAACTGTCAGTTCTCTGTCTGAGTCAGAGTGAGAACGGAGTGAGGTGTATTTCCACCTCACTGTTCTTGCAAGGATGGGTGGGGATGCAGGAACACAGTCCCATCCCCTTCTAAACTTTAGCATTATCCTTTGTAAAACATTGCGCTGAGATGAGACTGTTTGTAAGGGAGTTAGCAAATGACCTTGTGGAGAGATTACATTACAAACCATACCTAAATTTTAGTACTTGTGTGGCTGTGGGTTAATGCGCCAGACTACAACGCCGCTTGAACTGCAAGGTCGGCAGTTCAAGCTCACCAGCTGCTCCTCGGAAACCCTATACAGGGTTTCTATGGGTCGGAACCAACTCGACAGCACTTAACAACAACAACTCCTATTCCTCATTTTCATGGGGACTGGTTTAATTGATATGTCCAGGTCACAGTCTAGATTCTAGACTTACAAAAACAAAACAGATGGAAATAAGAAATCCAGGAGCAGATGTTTCTAGGAAGTCCATGTTGTCTTACCTCAAATGCTGCCTCTTTCCATAAGTCTTTCCTAATCATTCGATCTTAAAACAACTATTCATCCTTCAGTCACTCTTTGGCCATTGTCTTGTTTCTCTTCCTGGCTTTTCGCACTATGTTGGTTTGTTTGTTCACAAGATCATTTTCAACTGCCCCCTGTTGGATGGTAAACTCAGAGGACAGGGACCTGGACTTGTTCATTGTTGTCTCCCCTGCCCCTGGGGAGAGGTACTGGTTGGATGAGTGGATGGTCTTCTGTATTCTATTGGTAGCTCTGCTACTCATTCCTCCATTTCTCCTCCAGATCAACTCTCCACCCTTCTCTGCTCTGCTGGGTCTCATAAGAATGACGTTTATAAAATTTGGAAGGACTCCATTCATTAAAAGGATTCCCTTGTTCTCTGGTTTCTTGTTGCATATGACTAATGGGCTGTCCCAGTAGGAAATTACAAGGTAGGAGAAAGATGAGCCAGGACATATATATCGATTCTCCTTCAATGCTTGTCTGTTTCTTTGACAGTTCCTTTGTTCCTTAGTCTAAGAGAAGCCTCACAAGAAGTTTCACTGCCTTCACTGCATCTCTTGCTGGGGACCAGTAACAGCTCCCCATTGCTGTTAGTTGTTAGTTTTTGAGCACTGCATTATTTTTGTTTTCTTAATTCCACTCACAGGAATTCTGGTAGCATAGTGGTTACCAGAGGGGCTGCTAACCACAAGGTCAACAGGCTGAATCTATCAGCTGC